AAGGGCAGCTGATGCTGGTGTCCCCATCATGATGCGGAGAGAGTCGTGATGAAAGCGGTGCAACCCATGTCACTCACTCACACACTTCACTCATTCACTTCGTCACGACATGGCTGAAATACTGCCGATGTGACGTTACATCTTAACTCACTCACTCACTCATTCACTCCCTCTTCAAGGAATCTCTTCAAGGTGTAAATGTAACAAGAGGCACAGGAAACAAACTTAGGACCTACAGGATAGTTAAAAATGAAATAAAATTAGAACCCTATCTCAGTCACTGTAAAGTAAGAAAATATCGAGTGCACTTTTCTAAACTAAGATTAAGTAACCATAAATTAAATATTTAACTTGAGGCTATGCTCTACATGTTCAACCATTGATGACGAAAAACACTACTTACTTCACTGTATTAAACACACTCAAGAAAGAAATATACTCTTTGGAAAATTATCCAGACAAAATGTAAATGTAAATGTTCACAGTCATGAAGACAAATTATTTCACTACATCCTCTCAAATAATGAAGCAGTCAATATCAACTGCATTTGTTTCCATATCTATCATTTCAAACAATAAATACCCCTTCATAATCAACCGTTGACATTTTATGTATAATAATATCATGAAAAAATGTAATATTGATTGTTTTGTTTTTGTATGTGTCTACAGGAATGTAAATTATGTATATACATATGTATATATGAATCATAATGTCTTGTCTCTTAAAATTGCATCTGTCCCGTAATGGAACGTTTCTGCAATAAAAATTATCTTATCTTATCTTATCTTATCTTATCTTATCTTATCTTATCTTATCTCAAATCACGGAGGCTCACTCACTCACACAACTCAGATGCTTCAGTCAGCACCCTATGGGGTTTCCAGGGTGAAGAAATGTCCCCAAGTAATGAGATGGGGGGTCAGGCTCACTTGCCTTACTTGGGGACACGTCTCATTGTGTTGGCAACTGCACATCCCTACTGAAGCTTCTACCGTCGCGGCCTGTTTGCTCTCCTTCCGGCCACTGTATGACGCAGAGAGGATAAAACACAATGTTGTTGATGAAGATGACCTTGGATAGATCAGTCACGCGATAGTTTAGTTGTTGTGACCCATGGGCCGCCCGTGTGGTTTGAATCGTGTTGTTAATTATGGAAATATTAGTAGTGGTAGTGGCAGTAGTAGTTGTAGTGGTAGTGATGGTAGTAGTAGTGATAGTAGTAGTGGTGGTAGTAGTGGTAGTAGTCATAGTGGTTGTAGTAGTAGTAGTTGTAGTGGTACATGTTGTTGAAGATGTAGTTGTAGTTGAAGATGTAGTTGTAGTCTGTACGGTGCTTGAACGGGCGCAACGAAGTCAGTTCAGTATTTATCTTCAAAACAAAACTTGTGCCAACATAGAAAACCGAACTCCGGTCTCTTGCGAGACGAACGAACGTTTGGGCATTCTACAACACCCTATCAGTATATACTTGTCTTGACACACATGATAAGGTTAACTCGCGTGATAGACGCATTGAAGGCCAACTATTTTCAATCTGTTCTATCTATAGATGTTGGTTTCTCAGTCACTCAGCTATCACATGACAAGGTTTTTTATCTTTCTTCTGGTCCAGCGTATTAACTGGCAATAAGCTAACGCCATCACCTCAAATACATCCTTAATCAATCAAATTACAAATCTTTTAATCTGACACTATACACCTCTATGTGAAGATCATTGAAGGTCTCGCATGACAAACGTTCTAATCTGACAGTGTAGAGTCTTCTGAATTCTTGGTACAAATGAGAAACATTCAGAACCGTATCTGATCTCTGCACATTCAAAATGGATATAATCGGGGAGTTCCGAATGCAAAATAATAAAGACGCGCTGTTATATTGTTGTGGATATATGTGTGGGTTTCCTTTTTGTGAGGTCGAAATATCCGAATCGTTTTAGAAAGCTGACATGTGACTGGCCCAAGAACCCACAAATCCTTCATTTAGATTTGGCTGTCAAAGCTCGCCAAGGGTTGCTATGGAGGTGTCCCTAGATCTTCACGCAGAGAGACTGGCGGTGGGGTAGCCTAGTGGTTAAAGCGTTCGCTCGTCACACCGAAAACCCGGGTTCGATTCCTGACATGGGTACAAAGTGTAAAGCCCATTTCTGGTGTCCCCTGCCGTGATATTGCTGGAATATTGCTAAACGCGGCGTAAAACCATACTCACTCACTCACTCACTCACGCAGTGAGATATCGTAGCGGAGTTAAGGGTCTGACATTAATCAAACTGATCTTTAATCATTAAACCAGGAAGCGAATCTGTGACCAGTCTACACGGAAGTGGAATTGCGGCACTACAGCACGTGTCAGATTGGTAGCTGGGTCCATTGTAACCAAGGGCAACGTGTCATTTGCTATCTAAAGTCTATTTACATAGGGTCGATTGACAGACAACGCAGATCAGACCTCATAACTCAGTAGAACTCCTTAAATATCACGGTTCAAAAGGAAAATTAGAAGAGGCCCATTTTTTTCTCATTTCTAAACGAAACTAACGACTGCGTCATTGCTGTCTGGTGCACGTTCAAGGCACGTGATCATCATGAGTGAGGGAGTGAGATGGGATTAACGCCGCTTTTAACAGTATTCCAATTTTTTCACGGCGTGTCAGCTTAATGTGGGAGGAAAGCCCGAAGTGATGCAGGTCTAAGACGTTTACCACTTCGGTGAAACCCACTAGCACGGGCATGGTGCTGATAAACCTAGAAACATAATCGGGGCGAACCGGGATTCGAATCCACAATCATAGATTTCTGGCGCAACTCTGCACAGAAAATCGCGACGCCTTAGACGACCAGCTGTATGACGATGGCCTGTAAATATTCGAGTCTGGGACAGACAAACAAGTGATTGATAACACCCTAGCTATTAAGTCGCCTCTCACGATAAGTTTTGGTAGTTCGGGACCTATTCGAAGCTAGAACTCCGCGGGGGTCATGCGTGATTGGCTTCTAAAGGTTTGATAAAAAGCGTTACATGACTGAACTCGTCGGTGAATACTGTTTTCTGCCGTCTTAGCAATATTCAGGAAATATAGCCATGATGTTCTCCCCGCGTGTCCTTATGTCGGGAAACGAACCCGTAACTGAGACAAACAAAGCGAACGCTTCATCCACTGGGCTATCATCCGCCCGATTAAGGCTGGAGAAATCATTCAAAACAGGCAGCTTTAATACAGCTTGTCGGTTATGGAAATGAAGCTGCGCCTCCGGAATACACAGAGAGGATAATTTGTCACAAGGAATGTGCGTTTGCTATATCGAGGGTGCACGGGTGACACATCCGGAGGAGCCCATGTATAGATAAATCCCACGCCAAAGGTGTGTGAATCTAAAGTACACCACGTCGCAATAATCGGAACATGCAGCACGCATTCATAAGTACAATGTTACAATGAAAAAGTCTGACACGTTAACAGGACCTCAAACACACGTATCATGTAAACGTCTAGGCTGTTTCTGATCTTGCGCAACGAGAAGCGTGGGCCGAGCCACCCAAAGTGCGCTGAAGCTGAAGTATGATACATGTCATATAACCAACACCATGTCAATATGACATTATCGGATGAACCTATCAAAAACGTTTAAACATATGCATTTAAAGTAATAATCGTCCAGCTCTTAATCACACCCACATACCCTAAAACGAAAGGATATAAAATGGCACAAACTCTCCTAGTTCGAATTTGGTTTTCTGGTATTAAGGGTTTCCTGAGGGAAAGCATAGTACAGGAATTTAGCGGTGTCAAAATATGATATCAATATCCGGGTAGAATCCACCCCGGGTTTATTTCTACCGCTTATTAATTGGACATCCACGCAGCGGTTGTTAAAAAATACCCAATGGGGACTGGCCCTCCAGGGTTCGATAAATAAACCTTCTATAATTATCCTATGTCATGGTGTCCTTGTCGAAAGGTGTATCTATCCGACTTGGATTAGAAGCAAATGTAGACTTATCAATGTCTAATCTATTTTTCATGTCGGTTATATAAACTCACGGTCCCTTTTCGATAATATACATTCGTTGCTTACACCGAAAATAAAACCATTCGATTAGTCATAAATATACATAACATTTCCTAAACTTTTACCAAATATCTAAGTCCACCGTGTTGATATATGTATATATAAAACAATTAGACGATATACCCTCAACATATAACAGAGTTACATCTATCTCGCTGTTAACATGCTAACCAATAAATACCGTTGTTAAAGGCGGACTCTGTTCCGTCGACTTTAGTCCAGGGCTAGACACTCATGTTTGATCTATCAGTGAGTGAGGGAGTATGGTTTTACCCCGCTTTTAGCAATATTCCAACAATATCACGGCGGAGGGCACCTGAAATGGGCTTCACACATTGTACCCATGTCTGGAATCGAACCCGGGTCTTCGGCGTGACGAGCGAACACTTTAGCCACTAGGCTACCCGACCGCCCATATGTAATTAGGCCAGATGATAACGATGAGCGCTTAACCGGTACATTGACTGGAGGCTTAACGTACAATAATTATTTTAAATTTTGATTCGTCACAACATTTGAGTTCGCAGGCAAAGTGGTGTGTGAATGACTAGAGACAAGCTTGCGTGGGCTGTCCCTTTGTCAGAGCCTCGCCCCCTTAATGCATGCACATGGTGTCGCGAATACACACCAGTAAAGCTAATTGTTCGATAAAAATCTTAACATGCCAAGAGCAGAGATAGCACGTATCATAAACTATATTAACAAAGAAAAAACGAAACGAATAAATCACCTTAAGATGAAACGAGAAGAACTATTTTTCATATAAATGTATAATGATCTGAAAACAGGTGTTCCTTCACCCAAAGTGTTTGAATAAACGTTTAATTGATAAATACCCCCTATGGTTTTAGATACTACTACAAAGTCCACAGCGAACATTACATCTTAAGACCGCATGTAGCGCGTCCCCAGTGTCTGAGTACTCACACGAATGAAGGCACTCGATGATCGACGTGGCATCAATGAAGTACCCTCCACATAACACACAGACTAGGTGATGGTTCAGGTCGTCAAGACGAGCTCGCGTTGTCCTATGCATCGCTAATTCCTTCTGTCAATCTCGCCATCTGTTGGCACTGTATGAATGAACCGCTCAAGTGCCCCACTTTTCCGGAATTTCGTTTCAAATTTCCATGTCAACCCGTTCGCCAGAAACAACGCTGCAACGAAGAAAAAATAGAACGTATTTCCTGCTTCATGTGTTCATTTCAATGTTGATCCAAGATGAGATATACAAGGTTGTAAATTGCATGCAATGGACTACCGATGAGCAGGGTACAGGGCCATCGTAATGTACATTTCACATCTGTGTCATAAGATGAAAACAAGGCGCGCTATGATAAACACATTCTTGGTAAGCGACGCTATTCTCACTCGGCTTTTCAAATGGGGTAAAAAATAAGTCCATAAAATTCAAATATCACCCTCTCGATTTCAATACGAGCTTCAGTGAAACGGGGAACGGAATTAAAATGAAACGAAACCGTATTTACAAACCCCGTTGTACAGTTAAGGTTAAAGGTCAAATGTGCTCGTTTCCAGCCAATGAGAGCGCGCTGGTTGAGACGTTAAATCGTTATACTGAAACCTGCATAACGCAGGCGGGGCAGGAGAAGCTTTTTAAATACACGAGGAAATTAATCTAGGTCACACTGTGATGAAATTACTCAGACACGATAATTAAACCTTTAAGTGAGTTATCAGATATTAATGCTGAAGTGTTGTAACGTGTTTATTACTTTCATTACTCAATATATAATTACTTTTAGTTTCTATAAGGAGAATGTATTCATTTGCAATAAATATTTTTATTTTTATTATTATTACGATCTGAACCATATGACCAATGAGAAACTGAGTTGATCTGCCAGTGTGAATATTCTTTTAACGTCCACAAACCAAGTTTTTTTTTATTTCCGATAAAGACAGACACAATCGAATTCTCTTTATAAACAGCCAGTTACATTAGACATGAAAACGGTTCTGAAGTCGTGTGCGAGTTATGATTCATTGTCTGAACAATCACTCGATCAAACAACTCAATGCACAAAATGCTGAGCTATCCGACATCGTTTCTTTAGACTTATTTAGAAGTTTACACGAACCGTCTCTGACGAAATGCGGTACAACGTTTGAGCCAAATAAATAACGGTCTGCCCAATCATGTTCTGTTATGCACTTTCGAAAAAGAGAAAAAAATAGGAACGTTATCCGCATTTTCGGACGAAATAAAGGACGCGTTAGGTTAAAATGTGCATTTGTGCCACGTTAAGATTTAGCAATTCTTTGAGAGGCACAATTAGTGTTTAATTATTTGATTGTGTAAACGAGATAGACATGTACTTAATGTATCCTAATTTGTCGTGTTGAGTATTAACAAGCAAGTTGAGGACCGTGCACACAAAGCTTGATTGAACTGAAACTGATTTTATGGCAAAGTGCTTAAGTTATTTATCCATCTTACTTAGAAATAACCACGACATAAACTGAATGTGTTCAAAATTTACCACTAGTCCCGGACTATTTCTCATGTCATCGACCAGCAACTAGCGACTAATTTAAACCAGTAATTGAACCCAAACTATAATCTTACAATGAAATATTTTAAACGTTTTCGGCAAAAATAACATCATCATTGCATGTTTGTTTTTAATTTTAAAAATGAGAGCCCTTGAGTAGACTTTTTTGTTTGACGACCTTTAGGCAAGTTGCATGTGGATTATCTATTCACTAAGTTTGATTTAAAATTTTCTGCTAAAATAGCTTCACCGACGTTATCAAAATTGTGTACAATCTGTATGCTCCGGCTTGATTACATTGTGCGTTTCTGAATACACATGTTTTTTGTACATTATCTTAAATAAGCTACTGCAATAATTAACTTACTAAGCTTTATTAAATATTTTCACGATAATCATGTTTTGGACACTGATTTTGTTGTCCAGGTAAATGTGCAATTTTGGAAGAGGTATTATAAGTGAGGCTATAAGTGTTTAAAAATGTTCCGTTCCTCATGATCATATTACATCTGTCGTATTAATAAAAATCCCAAATACAAACTTTGCGTTTGATGAATAAAACAATCATATCCTTCGCGAATTTTGACGAATAAATCCTTTAAAAAAACATTTAATTTGTTGTCCCCCCAAACCCACAACTTGAATTTCACTAAGTTGAGACATTAGAGCGGACTTGTATTTTCCGGAAACACGCTTAAACCGTTTCCATGACGAACGGGAACCTTTTTATGCTCAACAAGATGATATTCCGGTTTCGCTGCATCCGGGTTTTTTTTTATAATTACCAACATATTTAGCGAATTTCGATTCTGACAAATTGTTATGCATATGACGTTATGTCAGAAAAAAATTGAGTTAATTTTCATCCGTTTGATAAAGAAGCCATAACAAAAATATATTACTCTGAAATATTAGTATCTATTTGATTGTTAAGTGGAGTGCAATATTTCAATGACAGTTTATATTGTTCATTGTGTGACTTGGGCAGGATTTCCTGAATACACCTCGAGGTTAAAGCAGTGGCTGAGTCACTCATTAAAACAATGGTTGTCTCACTTGTGAACTGTCATTGCATGATGACCTCGAACTTTTAACACTTACGTGTACTCAAACATAAATAGTTGCCGTGATAATTGTCTTATTCATCATATTGTGGGCGGAGGTTAAAGCGTTCGCTCGTTTCGCCGAAGACCTGGGTTTGAATGTCTAAATTGTATCCCCGCCGTGATATTGCGGGAATATTGCTGAAGGCGGCATAAAACCATATTCACTCACTCCATTTTGAAGTAGATTTGGGACAATGAATAAAGGCTTGAGACCTTACAAGCAGACATACAGTATTTTAAATAATGTCACATGTCATCCTCAGGTATATTTTGTTTCGGTTTGTATCGATACATGCACGACCGATAACCTTCTGATAGCATGGCAACGTGTACCGGACATTGAATCGTGACACACTGTAAAACACAAATCACCCACTTACTCATCATATTGATATTTTTCAAAAGCATAATTACTCTCTTTTTCTTTGAAGATTTCTACTGACTTAGATTAATTACGTTCCCTCAGGTGATTTAGATTTTTTTTTAAATGATTTAAATTTATTTTAAAATGAATTAAAATTAAACTTATACAAATATTACAAAGTTCTTCACATCGGTCACGGTGACTTGTTTGTTTATGGTCAATAACCATCACATTTATATATCGATATTTGAAGGGAGAGAAACTTTAAAGTGTGATTTCTTCTAGTCGCGCGTAATCATTAAAACGGCATGTGTTGTGAAGTTGGGAGAATTGCCAAGTTTTGTCAATATATTTTCATATGATCAGTTACTTTTGTTGTTGAGTAACTATTCTATCTCGTTCTTAAGTTTGGAAATCGGCTAAAATAAAACAAAACACATTCACAGATTTATCAAATAAATACGTCAAACATAATTACCGTTAAACCCGTTTCGGAATTTTCAGAGTTTCGATATCGTTAAATGAAGGTATATGATACAAATATTAAAATAGAATTCATCACGCATGGCGTGACAGCCCCACAAAGCGATCTCAGGTACGACCTTCTCATGTGGAAGAAAATTGTAATTTGTGTCGCCCCATCAATTTCCGCACTTGCACAGAAAATGTTTTAGTTGGACGCTATTGGTATTTGCATATTCGAATTTAAGTCGCAGTACGGTCTAAATAAATACTGCCGATGCGGCCTTCCATTCTAACTCACTTCCTTAATTCACTGGCCTCTAAGTGATTTCTCTACAATATGTTAATTACATTAATGCAAGGAATCTTGGGTAAACTTCACACGCATGGTAGTGATACAGAGAGCCCATCGGTCATACTTGGGAAACGAGATTCGAACCCTACAGCAGCGGATCCTGCCACGACCTAATACAGAACAGGATAACGTTTATCATAAGTTTCAAGAAACTTTTAATGTGAGGCTTACCTAGAGAAACTAGAGAAACTGAACGAGACTAATCACTGTAGATAATACGGGTGTAACGATTTTTTCCAGTGCACGAACGAAAGAATAATATAATATAATATAATATAATATAATATAATATAATATAATATAATATAATATAATATAATATAATATAATATAATATAATATAATATAATATAATATAATACATGTCTGCTTACGTATACAAGAGGTCTCAAGCCTTTATTCATTGTCTTAAATCTCCTAGATATTCAAAATGGAGTGAGTGTTGTTTTACGCTGCTTTAAGCAATGTTCCAGCAAGATCACGGCAGGGTCACCAGAAAAGGGCTTCACATATGGTACCTATGTGGTGAGTCGAACCCAGACTTTCCCTGTGATGAGCGGCCGCTTTAACCACTAGGTTACCCCACAAACCCTCATTGCGGTGGAAATGTCTCATTTACATCTGAAGTGTCGAGTTTACCAAGTAACGATTTTCCACGTGTTTGATTGTATCGTGTATAGCACGCGAACTCACAATCGAGATCACAACTAAATGAATCCTTAGATTCCCACTTGCGTCACATGAATTCCTAAAAGAAATAATATAGTTTTTATTACCCATGAAATTGGCCATACAAAACTAAAACCATCAATTTTTATTACCAATGACACGGGTCATAAAATGTGATATTTATATTTGTGTATACATAATTACAAATTCCTATCTGACGGATTTGATTTTATTACTAGCCACTTACATTCGCGGTTTCCAGTGGTACGTGATTGTCATGCTACTATACCGACTTCAAAGACACACTTTAATAACGCAAATAACAAAACAACATTCCTTAAACAACGATTATAACGAACACGCTTGTAACGAACTGACGGATATAACGCACTATTTCTTCGGTCTGGCATATGCTGTATATTTTATCATATAAAACGAATGGATATAACGAACCTGCTCAGAACGAAATATAGCGAACTTACTTTGTGGTCACATGTGTCCCATGTGTCAACGGCAATGCTTGTGTTTATAACGCGAGGCGGTGGGGGAGCCTAGGGGTTAAAGTGTTCGCTCGTCATGCCGAGGAACCGGGTTCGATTCCCGACATGGTTACAATGTATGAAAAGTATTTCTGGTGTCCCCCGCCGTGATATTGCTGGAATATTGCTAAAAGCGGGGTAAAACCATACTCACCCACTCAGTTATAACGGACAGTTAATCTCTGAGCTGCTCACGTGTACAGAGGATCGCTTCCGAACATTACCATAATAGTTGTCAGGAACATTAATATTAAGCATTTCCCTCTGTTAGCCTATTACATGCTCTACGGTAAATGTTCTTCAGTGGTCAACGCAAGGACTTTACAGCGTTATCTGTCACATCGACATCATTCACGTACAAATACGCATAATTAATTATGATGA